ATGATCTAGAAATTGTTTTAGCCTTACTACTGTACACTACCATGAAACCTAAGATTTTACTGGGCTCTTTCGGCAGTCATATTATAGTGTTGCTTTACTTATTTAAATGCACAAATTTTACAGCAACTAATTACAAGAAGACAATTTAAAAGAGCTGTTGGTAACTATTCACTTAGGAAAGTCTATAGATGAAAAATAAGCTATGCCTTTAAAAATGCATTTAAACAGGATTCACTTGTGACAATGAATGTTCATGTATAACTAAAAAATTGTGCTCTACACTGGAATTTGACACATTGTAAAATGACTATAACTCAATAAAAAAAGTTTAAAAAAATAAACAGAATTCACTTGACAGGTACAAGTTTTTTAAAATCTTTATGAACAAATTAGTTCTCAGATATATTATAACAACAATAGGTGCTGTATGCCACTGTCATTGTAACTATAGCGTACAGATATTGTGTATGGCGTTCACATAATTACAGTCATTGAAAAAGTCCATTTGTTCATACATCTCTTATTTGGATATAAAAATTTAATAAACATGTAAATGAGCTTGACCTTTAATTGCCAAATCTGGCATTAAAGTACTTGGTATGAAATGAATATATAATTGCTTGTTCAGGAAGGAGATCTTGAAAACTGAAAATCAAATGTGTACACCCTTTAGGATTTAAGCATCTGAATAACTCAATTCATTTTAATTAGTACTCACCTTGAACATTTAGCACCCTTTCAACGTTAACATCAGATAGTCTCTTTTTCCGAAGCTCAGCACGTATCCTGAACACTTGATCTGCATACGGAGTCACCACACCGATACTGCCATCATCTAACTTGCCCCACGCTACCGGCCACTTCCTTCTTAACTCTTCCACACGTTCCACCACTTCAAATACCTTTAGACGAACACACACATGTACATATTAAAGTTATACAAGGGTTTGGAGAAAAGAATACAGTAACTGAAATGGATGTACAAAGGATTCCATTTTAGCAAATATCATTTTAAAATTACTTCTAAATAGGAATAATGTTTTGCTGATATGAACACAGGGTGAATAAAATAATTTTATTTGCATTTCAAGCAGTGAATTTCTACAATAATGTACCCAGTGAAAACATGAAAATCAGAGACAATGTAACTGGCAGCTGGCAACTGGCACCCACCCTTCACTTAGCCTCCATTCTTACATGGGGACAGGCTCAAGTTCCTGTGTAAAGAGAAGGGCATGCAACTGGCAACCCCATCTAGGGAAACAGGGAAACAAATCCCCACATTCCCAGTATTTCTCAGTCTACTCTCTGCAGTTCAGGATAATGAAACTAACCAACCAACCAGAAGATCACTAGAGTCAGTGCCACCACTAAGTCCCAGCAGAACAAGGTCTATAACTGCACCCTCTCCCCATCAGTGTAACTAAACAGAGCAGCCAACAGCGGGCCTCAAACCATAGCTGGGATCAGGACAAATCTGGATTGGAGAGACAGACTTTCAGAATTCACTGCCTTCTAGTGGTACAACTCTGCTCTAGCCATTTCATTAACCCTGCAATAAAGTAACACCGTATCTCACCCATTTGAATTTTTTGGACCCCACTTACTGGATTATAAAATAGGGCATTCTGTGTAGTTCAATCTAGTTTAATTCAGTGAACTGAGCAAACAGTTTCAATGCCTGGCACAGCAGGGGATAAAATGATTAACAAAACATGTTTGCCTGCTAAGAGATTACTGTATATTAGGAAAACAGATTCCTAATTTTTAAAAATACATGTAAGACAAGCTCAATAGAGGGTCAGGCAAGAGTCGAGGGGCAGAGAGAGGAAGGAGAAATTTTTTTCAATGTAATTTAAATATACTATTTATTTAATATTTGTTAGTAATACTATCTACTTAAATTATAATACAAAAATCTGACAGTTTTATTCCTTTTAAGAACTTAAGGGTCACTGGCTAGCATGCTATGTGGGGAGGATCAGAGTGGGACAGTGGGTGAAGAGAGTAGTCTCCTTTTCCTGCACAGGGAAGCTGATCCAGTGAGCTTGGCAGCAGAGTGACAGCTGTCGTCTTCCCCACCTTCCTAGGACAGAAGACTCATTCCAGATAGACTTAGCAGCCAGTGAACATCAAGAGATCCCCACCTCCCCAGCTCTAGGTTGCAAAAGATCCACACTGGATGGTACGGCAGCTGGATGGGAGCACAGATTGTACGCACATATACCACACACACAGAGCTCTTGTTCCACAAGGGTGAAGACAGCCAGGGAAGAGCGAGCTCCACATCCTCCCACGGCAGCTGCTCCGAAGTTCTGCCCAGGGCACGGCCAGAGCAGACCTCACAAATCAGCAACGCTCTGCCTCTGCAAAGGGCCCAACTTCAGCTGGATTACACCCTGGAATAGTTTATGCCCCAGGGAGATGAAAAGTAAAATAACAGAAATGAAAAATTCCCTAGAAGGCCTCAACAAAAGATTTGAGCTGGCAGGAAAACAAATCAGCAAACACGGAAGTAAAGAGTATGCAATCTAAAGAACAGAAGGGAAAACAATGAACAAGGCCTCAGAGAAATGTGCAACCCCAGTAAGCTAAAATTTTTCCAAATTTGATGAAAAGCTTTATGTATCAAGCTCATCAAACAAGTAAGATAAATGCAAGGAGGTCCACAGCCAGACACATCATAGTCAACGAGGTGGACGCCAAAGACAAAAGTAAAATCTTAAAAACAGCAACAAAAAAACAACTCATCATTTACAAAAGAACCCCAGTAAGAGTAACAGATGACTTCTCACCGGAAACAATGAAGGCAATAAAGCAGTAGGAAGGCATATACTACTGTGCTAAGAGAAATAATTCAAGCAATAATCTAATATCCAGCAAAACTACTTTTCAAAAATGAGGGCAAAATAAAGACATTCCCAGAGAAACAAAAACCGAAAGAAATCCTTACTAGCAGACCTGCCGTAAAAGAAACACCTTAAAAGAAGTTCTTCCGGCTAAAAGCAAGTGACACCTGACAGTAATGCAAATCCACACAAACAAAGCATACTGCTAAAGGTAATTATGTGGTTAATTATAAAAGACAGTATAGTAGTATGTTTATTCTCCTTTCTCCTCTTAACTGATTTAAACAGTTACTGCATAAAACAACATGCAGTATAATAGTACTGTTAGACTATAATATATAAATATGTAATATATCTGACGATAACAGCACAAAGGCAAGTGGAAACTGACATAAGATGGTAATTTGAATCCAAAGAAAAAGAGAACCAGAAATAGTGAATAAGAAGGTTAACACAGCAATCTCTATAAAGATGTACTTCCCCTCTCTTCTCTCAGAATCCTTAAAGGGCATAAAATCACATAAAGCAGTAGTTATAACAATGTGCTGCTGAGTCATAATACACGTAGGCATAATATGAATAACAGTAACAGCACCTGCAAAGGAGAGAGGGACACGAGATAGGTAGGAGCAACGCTGGAATTAAGTCAGCGTCAAGCCGAAGCAGGTTCTGGTAAGATTTATACAGTAGGCTCTGGAGGAATCACTAAGAAAACAACTCAAAAAATATAGTTAAACAATTATTAAATAACTAAAAAGTGACACTAGAAAAGATGCACTTAATGCAAACAGCAGCAAAGGAGAAACAAACGATCAAAGAAACATATGACATAGAAAACAAAAAGCAAAAGACAGAGGTAAATCCAACCACATCAATAAGAACATTAAATGTGAATAAATTCAACCATCCAATCAAAAGGCAGTTATTTTTCAACTAGATTTAAAATAAAAAATCTAAAAACAAGATGCAGTGATACGGTCTATAGGCGATACACTTTGGATTCAAGGGAACAAAGAGGATGAAGATGGAAGGATGGGGAAAGATACACTGTGCAAACAGCAACCATCAGTTAGCTGGAACGGCCATACTGATACCAGACAAATTGACTTTAAAATGAAAAATATGTTGCTAGAGACAGAAGGACATTTTATAATGATAAAAAGATCAATCCTCCAGGAGGATGTAACAATTAGAAACATATAAAACCACTAACTACAGAGTCCCAATCCATGTGAGGCAAAAGCAAGGCTCTCCTCCAGGCCACAGGCTCCACCAGCCTGACGGAGTTTTTGTTCATATCTGAACGACTCGGCCCACCCCTCGCCCATCATACTGCCTTATGGTTACTTGTTTCCATAGCTCCTCTCCTTTAGACCTATTTTCCCAAGGTTAAGAATCGTATCTTGGTGTTTAGCATTTTAATTCTCCTTTTTTCCTCCCAACTTGGCATTATATTGAAACCATTTCATTATGGTGGGATATGAATTCAGTCAGAATGAGAGAAAAATAAAAAGAAGGATCTTTCTCACTCTCTTTCATCCTACCAGTTTAAGCATGTGAAAGAAGACACACGTTCAGGTGATAACACAATCACACGATAAAAAATTTTTTAATATTCCCTAAACAAAGCACAATTATACACAGCAAAACTGCTATCAGTATCTAGCTCTTTAATTTTACTTTTACTTTCATCCTGTTTTAAGTTCCTTGTAATGGTAACTGTGTTTAAGACTATATTATTTTCATAATAATGAAATCTCAAATCTCACAATATCCTCCTAAATGTTAGTTAGAACCTTTATAAAAGAAGAAAACTCACTTTTCCCCTATTGATGTAACTGGTGCCACTTGCTCTGCTTGCTCTAGAACACAAAACACATCTGAGTTTCACCTTTAAATGATATCCCCTCAAGAAAAGTCCAGGGCTTCTAAAAACATTTTACTGCCCAAACATGCCTACATTGGTATTTAAAATTTGGAAAATCTTGCCTATAAACTCCGAGAGCTTCTACTCCCACCTCAAAGGACAGGATACCTATATCCCCTCCATCAGCTGCAGCCAACAGGGCTCAGCTTTGCCCCTTGAAGAAAGAGCCCCTGGGGCCATGTGTCTCACAGTTTTTGCGTTCAGTACCTCATAGGGCTGAAGAGAGTGAACAATCATGCTCTGGTGGTGAAGTTCGTGGTGGCTTAAAATTTCTCTGAAGTTACATGTCTCATATTTGAAGGTCACACAAATTTTATCTTGGAGGTTGTTAATATGAAAAATATTTTCCCCCAAAACTGATTCTGTAACACTGATCATCCAGGAAGATGTATCTCATTTATCCTACAGTTCCTTGGTTTCCTGGGAAACACATCATGCACCATGAAGGAACAAGCAGCCCAGCTTGAGAAGCTGAGCCTCCAGTAAACGTTAACTCTGCCTCAGGATCAATGGCAGGGCTCAGCTCTGACGCCTGTCCAAGCCTCCCGGATTTCAGGCTTGTCTCTCCCCGTCCACAGGCTCACCCCCACCACGGCTGGTATCCAAGTTTCCAGCCAGTGGGTTCCAACCTGAGTGCAAATGTAATAAAGGAAACCCTAGACTTATCTGTCAATATTTCAAACATTTAAAGAAAAGTTTATCTTTTCCTAAAATTAAATGGCACAGACTAACTAAAATGTCAGGTTTCTTTGTTTTTGGCTAGGATTTTATCAAGTAGGTGCTGTCATTTTTCTTGCACTGACTTCTAACTACAGGCCTCTGGTCAATTTTTTTTATAAAGGAAAGATGAATTACTATTACATAATGAAAGCCATTTCTTTTGAAAATAAAATGAGTAAAGAATGGGAATCAAAGGAAGAGAGGGAGATGGAGATCCCAGATAAGAACCATTCCACTACTGACCAACCATATACACCTTCTCCCCTGGGTTTCCTGAAATAAACAAACTTTAATATACCATTTTTACATAAATAAAGTCAACACACAATAAAATATCAACCCCAAATTTTAAATAAACGCTTAACAAGACCAGACTATGTGGCTACAAAACATGTTAACAATTTGCAAAAGAACTGAGGTACCTCTGCATTATTATAAAAAGCTGTGCTATTTTTTTCTTGTACATCTTCCCCTCTTGCTGTAAAGAAAGTTAGTGGATAGAAATCCTTGTGTGCTGGTTGCTTTCCACTGGCCATCAGTTTGCCCTCATAGAAGAGCTCAGAGGTGTAACTGCAGAAAAAGACCAAAATAAATAAATAAAGAGTAGTCAGTCAACAAAATTAACTTCACCCATAAGAAGAAAATTACCAGTCAATTCTAATGTTGCTTTATGCCTATGAGTAATTTTAACCTAAACATCTAATACCTATGATGCCAAGATTTTCTCCAAAATTAACTATAGTAATAAAAGCACAGCAGGCTCCTGGTATACCACTGCTAAATGGGCTGATGTGGGGAAGGCATGGAGCCAGAAGAGAGGAAAAAAAAAAGGCAGAAATGACAGCAGTTCAATATTAGATAGGAATCTTGCTCTATGAGATTTGCTAGCTAGCATGTTTTCTATACTAAAAATTTTTAATGCATATTTTTATTTATGTGGATCATATACATGCAGACACAAAGAGCTATAGATACTGAAAATACACACAACTGAAGGACATTCCAGTCTTCAACTGTAAAATGAATACTCTCCACCAATGAAAATATATAGAGTACTTGATTCATCACCGACTGCAGCAAATTACTGGCAACAATAAAAGAGCAATCACATTTTGAGATATTGATAAAAGCCACAGTTAAATCCAAATTTATTTTTATATCCATCTATCCTACTGCTTTCAGAGGAACCTAAAAATGATTTTCACTTGACTGCCATAATCAATATTGTTAAATTATACTAAACTTTAAAAAATCTTAAGTTTTTGGTGGTGGCAGTGACTGGAAAGGAGTACAAAGGGGCTGGTAACATTCTGTTTCTCGGGCTGGATGTCAATTACAAGGGTATGTTCAGTTTGTGACTGTTCTCTGAGCTGTCACCATATTTTTACCTTTATAGATGCATACTATATTTAATAGAAAACTTTAAAAACTTTTTTACTAAGTTTCATGGTTTTTCCTTCCTTCTTCCTTCCCATCCTTCTTCTCTTTTAAGAAAGATTCCTTGTATAATACAGCCAGACATAGATAAGTAAACCATTCTGTGGTTTGTCAGTCTGTTTGTTTATTACATCATGTAGCTTTATCCACACGTTATATATTTAGCCACAGAGAAATATGTTATAGCTAGCAGAACCTAAAGTTTCGTTTCCAGAACTGCCCTATTGTGAAAAATTACAGCTCTGACTTTTGAAGTGTTCTTTAACAGACATAAAATTAAACCTAATTTGCAACACCAGGGACACCACATAACTCTGCTGGGAATAATCTGTCCCTAGAAACAGTGCCGTTTTGACTTCCTCCCACCAGACTACAGAGGGGGCAGTTCACACCCACTTGATGATAGCTTCATGGGAGCGGTAGTTCTCACACAGGAGGATCCTGCATGGGAACTCGGCAGGGTAATGCTCGTAGAGTCGATCAAGTAATGAAACGTGAAGGTTTCTCTCCCTGGCAAACTCGCTGTAAACAAAAGGACTGAGCTGTAACAGATAAACATATGGAGAAAATTTAACTAAACATACAAATAGTATTTTTTAAACCCACTTAGAAAAAAACAATCCACCATGCTGAAACTTCTGATGTACTAAACCTCAACATGCGAAACACTGGAATAAGCAGAGTCAAAAATACGTTTTAACTCAATAAAAGAAGTTTAAAAAAAAATACGTTCTAGTATTTTTATACAACTATAAAGAATGAGGCTAAAATTTCTAACTTTCCATTTCAGTATGCCAACACTAATCTGGAGTTTGTACACACAGGTTAAGAAAGGGGTCCTCCAACATGAGAATAAACAGCTGCTGCCTTAGTGATTTTAGGGATGAAACCCACTGCATCATTGGGGGGAGTCAATAAACTATTTCACTAAATTAATCAACTATTGAAAATGGTGAGCTGACAGGATATACAGCCCATGACTAAAAAGTTTATTTTTAATTATTAGCAAAAAGCTATCTTTATCTTGCAAAGTATAAGGAGCCATTTTTGCTTATAACTTTGACACTAAGAACAATATTAAACTACTTCGGGCAAAGAAACAAAAACAGAATTTGTTCCTCTACATTTAACTCTTTCCTGGATGTCTGGACAGCTACAATACTACATAGGTTCAATCTTAATAACTGTGACAAAAGAGAAAAAACCTCAAATTGCAACTCTGTAAAATTGATATTTTAATAGAAAAACTGTTAATTCTCTCTCATACATAGGTACTAAGATCAGACATGTTCTTTGAGATTTTGACTACTATTTTTAATTAAGCACTGTGTTTCTTATGATAGTGAAAAATTAGCTCTTCTGAAGAACAAATGTTGGGGACAGGTACTGGGGAATCGTAAGAAGGGCAATTTAAATGTATCTGATAAGGAAAAGTTTCATACTATGGAGAACTGAATTTCAAATTACTAAACATGAAAATGATAAACACTGATAAACTCATTCATTCCACTCTCTATCCAAAGAAGAAAAAAAGGGTAAGATAGCAATTTTCCTTCAGAAATATCAATAATTTCCATTGTTAGTAGAGAAATATTTAAACTACTTAAATTGTAACATATAGCACAATTTCATAGGATGTTTTAGAAAGCAAAGTTTTAACATCAAAATATAATAAAAGTTTCTTTCACTATGATGACTCAGAGGGCACTTACCTGCATGTGGTCACCAGCCAAGACAATTCGAGTGCTCTTAGTTGCTAATGCTAGAGGCATAATGGTTTCACACTCCATGGCCTGGGCAGCCTCATCTAATAGAATGTGCGTAAAAAACCCTACAAAGTACAGTGTAAACACAATAAAGTATATTACAGCAGTGATTAAAAAAGAGGAATAACTATTTCACTCAACAATAAATATATAAATGTCATCTGGTGCTAATGGCCCCAAGACTAACAGTTAAATCAGTACATACAAATAAGATTTTAAAAGATACTTTATAAGATAGCAGCTTTTCACCACAGCAAAAAGCTGACTACTAAACACTGATGGGCAAAATCCTTTCGCTAGTTATTTGCTAAAACATCAAAAATAAAACAATGGTAGTTTATAAGTAACTTTAGCCTAAACATACATATTAGACATTAAAATAAAGAAAATCACACCTAAAATCTAATATAAAAGAGAAAGTTATAATCCTACTTTGACCAAAAACAAAGATTATTAGCAAATTCACTACTTTGATTATTGAGGTTTATGTGTGTGTGTGTGTATAGGCAGGTTATATATAATTTTTTAGTCTAAAACCGTATCCTGGCTGAAAAAACATCACCAGTCTGAAGAAAACAAAGTGACTGACAACAAATATCAAAAATGTACATTATTAAATATCCCCCAGATCCAAACACCTACAGTAGGAGGCATCCATGTTTTGGTTACTGTTTCCACTCACACTGGGGCAGAGGAGACTCTGTAGAAAAGGGAAGAAAAAGTCTCTTTGCCCCTAAAAGAGGGGAATGCTCATAGGCAAAAATCTTGCTGTCTCCATGTGTCCCCTATTGCCAACTCACTGAGGTAGGGAGAAGGGGATGCTCTTTTTATTGGTACAGCAAAGAACACAAAGCAGTTTCTCAACAGAAATGACAAGTTACAAAACGCTCTGTATTAATTAGCCTCCTCTGGGTTGGCCCAAGAACCTAACCTCTATTTCCATCTCTATTGCTATGAATATCAGTAAGTTCCAACAGTCTGTTTATACAACTTTCTAATGCAACTTGTTTTTAGGGTGGGAACTTTCTAAGTCTTACTGACTAGCAGTAATCACCACCACCATCACCATCATCATCCATTCAAACAAATGGTTTTGGCTGACAGCAAAGTATCAATAACTGTGGTCTATGTAATGATAGTGGCCCAAGCATGATTTGGACACATGCATTTTTCTTCCTATTGAGGAGAATTTGTGCTTTTTGTTCTACAAGACTAATTAAGGCAGATGACTATATAAACGTAGGATCAAATTGGAAAAACCTGACTAGTGGAAAAAACCTATTGTTTTTGTTAGATAACATTTTAATTAAATAGAGCTAGGCTTGAATCAGGAACTGAATAAATAATAAAATTGTTATACTATTGCTTAAGCTGATAAAAGTAACTTGAATTCGTCAAACTGATTGAGCCTGAGCCTTGGTTGTCAAATCTGTAAAACAACCCTCCACAGACAGAGTTGATAAGAGAATTAAATGAAATAAAGTATAAACAATGCCCAGAACAAAACAGACAGTTGACTTCCAGTAAGTGTTCTTTTACATTCTTGCTCTCCAGGCTCATTCTTTACTCCTCCTCACAAAACTATACTGTTTAGGAGATTTGGGTATTTAATTTGTGTGGCAAATATGCAGAGTATAATCTTAAAGTAATGAGACTGATTGTTAAATAAACATACCAAAATTTACGTTTCAAATAAGTGTTGTTCCATTCAAAGAAGTCAGTTGGGAGGAAACATAACTCATTCCAATGATGCAGCCACTGTTCAAAACATTTTTGAATGTTTTTCTAACTGCCCTCACCAGCCAGCTATGAGCTGCATGTACGAGAAAATAAGTCTCATTACATGAGAGGCACGTCTATCTCTCTGTTTTCTTATTTTAAATCCCTAATGGTGTTGCTCAGTTTGATCACCTGCATTTACCAGACATGTCCCAGAAAGATTTTAAAGCTTTTCTAAAATTAAATCTACCCTCAGAAAAGAAAGTTTGGCCACCATTCATTTAAGATAAACAGAGGTTTATCAAGGGCCTCCAGATGTCTATACTCTGGGCCAGGTGCCAGGAATAAAAGGTGAAGAGACCCATCACTACCTTCCAAGGACTTAGAAGAAATTTGTCACTGGCTTCGAAAGCAATTCCAAAAGAAGAGAGCAAAAAAGTGTTGAGCAATGTCAAAAATTATAATACAGCAGTATTAAATAAATATTCTTCCAAAGCAACTACCTTAAAGTGATACCATATTTTGATGGTTAAGTTCTGCCATATTTATCAGAACTTCTTCTCACTTTATACCTGCACTTTGTATAATATTAGTTTGACTTTACATAGTGCTTGTACTTAAATATAATAATCTTAATAGTATGTGATTTAAAAAAACCTATCATAATTGTTGTCTCTACACTACATTAATGCAAAACTATTTTATAATTAAAAATTAAAGAAAATTGTAAAAAACACCAACATTGTCCAAATTTGAATTTTTCACATGATCTACAGTAAGTAAATACCATCTGATCAATTAGAGAACAAACAGAGTAGCAGTCACTAAAATGTCTAAACTAGGAGTTGACAATTTTTTGTGTGTGAAGGGCCAAACAGTATACATTTGGGGGTTTTTTTGGCCATACAATCTCTGTTGCAACTACTTACCTCAGCTGTCGTAGCCCAAAAACATCCATAGAGAATGTAGGTAAATAAATGGGCACAACTGTGTCCCAGCCAGTAAAATTTTATTTACAAAAACAGACAGCAGGCCAGATATGGCCCACAGGCCAACCCCCAGTCTACACCGAATGCAGAAGCCCTATGCATTCAGACACCCTATCTGTGTCTCAAATCAGCATACCAGGTTCAAGGTCCAACTGACAGAGGTACTGGGAAGTATTCAACGTAACAACCACCACTCGGTGTTTAAGAATATCTTCTTTCTGTGGCATCTGAAAGGTGGAATGTGCGCTTGAGATCAAACAGTACTGATGCACAACTGGGTGGACAGTCTTTACCCAGCGATTTCTGAAATATACCCTATAAAAGAAGAAAATATTTCCTATTTATATTTATTAACATCTCACCGGTATCTGACTATCAAAATATTGACATTATGATTTTAAGACTACAATATCTGGAAATTAACAAATAAATCTGATAACCGTTAACACTCTACTGGGTTAGAATTTAGCATACAACTGTGACCTGCCCTCAACCAAAAAAGAATCAAGCAGAAAGTATAATACTATAGATATAATGCTATATTTTTAAGTGTTCAGAGTAATCTTACAACAAAATGACACACAAAGAGTTTCATAAGCATTATTTTTTTTTAATTCAAAACGTTCCCATTGGGAATTACTTTTTTCTAGAATATTCTTACAAAAATATACTTAATTTACAATTATCTATGTTAATAAAAAATAGTGAATTGTATACGTACAAGAGAAATTTTAAAGTTTTCTGCATTTCTACTTTAGAATATATCCTTATACCTATATCTAAACAGACCTCTATCTAAAATTCTGGAAATTTCAAGGTAAATTTTTCGACAATCAGAAAATCCTTTACCTACCCACGCCCTCACCACCAGCAAAAAAAAAAAAAAAAAAAAGGAAATCTTAAGAAAGAACATCTCTTCCATTAATTACAAAAGAAAAATCTTAATAGGCCTCATGCAACAGATTACTAACATGGTACAGAAACAACTCATCCATCTATCCACCCACCTCCCCCTCCATTTCTCACCCACCCATATCACAAAGATCTCCTGGGTATCTACTCTGGTCCAGCACAGAGGCAAATCACATGGCTTGCAAGCTTTCATAAAGGCTTTGGATTTACTCTGATTTAAATGGAAAGCCATCAGAGAGCTGTAACAAGGCACATGTCATGTGACATGATTTATGTTGTTAAAGGACCCTTCTGTTTCTTTGGACAGAATTCATAGTTTGGAGGTTGGGAGAGGGTTGGACAGTGGTGTGTGTGATGGTAAATTTAAACAACCAGCTTCGGGCGGAAGAGGGGATGACCTGATCTGTAGTGTGTGCTGGTTTCTGTGGTAGAAGACATACTATCAAGGGCAATTTCAAGCTACCAACATGATGTCACTAAATATGAACTTGAGAAGACATGTACATAACTGGCTTTCACAAACCAGTACAAGCGACTCAACACACCACAGTCCGGGAGAGAGGCAGAGGCAGGGGACAACAGAAGGGAGACCAGTAAGGAGGCTGCTGTAAGGGTCTGAACAAGAAAAAAGAATAGCATGGACTAGGCTGACAACAGCAGAGATATGACAATGGTCAGATTCACATTTTCAGAGTAATGCTGACAGGATTTGCTGACAAACTGGATGTGGAATTTAAGAAAAAGGACGATTCTTCGACTTTGAAACTGGATGAATGACAGTGCGCAGTGATAGGGAGGAAGAGATTTGGGGTGGGAACTGAGAATTCAGTTTTGGACATAGCGATAGATATTCAAGTAGAGATACCCAGTAAGCAGGGGCATATATAAATGCGGAGTTCAGATGAATGCCTGGGACAAGAAATATACAATTGAGATAATCTTTAAACCTTGAGACTAGATGAGTTCAGCTGGAGAATAAGTGTGAATAAAAAAGAAACCAGTTGGAAGAATGACTGATGGACTACTTCAACATTTAGAGGCTGGGAAAAGGAGAGGGACATAGGAAAGGAGACTGGGAAAGAGCAGTCAATGAAATAGGGGAGACTTAGGAGATTTGCAGGGGTCCAATCGAGGGACAGAAACTCCCATGTCACTAAATCATTTGGACACTTTCTGGGCCTACCAAGTTACTTGACTTATTAGCAGCATCCAGTTCTGTGGTTGCTCCCTCCGTAAAGCACTCTCTCCCCTCAGCTGCCATGACTCAGCCTCTCCTGCTTCCTTCTACCTCTCCAGGCTAGGGCTTCTTAAGGCTTAGTTTTCAGTGCTCTCATCTTCTCAAGCTCTGTTCTCTCACCTGACAATCTTATCCCAGGTCCATGGCTTCAATTACCACCAATACCCTGGTGACTCACATTTTTCTCTCTTCAGCCAACACCTCACCTCTGAGCTCCAGGATGCAGCTCCAACTATTTATTTGACATCTGTCTTCCCTAGAACGTTTCAAAGGCAGCTCAAATGTGATATGCACAAACACTAATCTTGTGATCTTCTAACTAACACTCCGTGAAACAATTAAAACTGGTCACTGTCTTTTTTTTAAGCAAAGCAAAAAAAAAAAATAGCACTTAATAAATGCCCCTAATTATAAATTACAATAGAGGAAAGTAAAGAAATGTATTTTAAAACATTACTATGATAGGAAGGACTAAAAGTTGTTAAAAATCTTAAGCATGCTTTAGTTTGTAATAAAAAATGTCTAATCAGATCAGCAAAGCAGAATTTTCTTTTAAATATATGAAAAATTTCATTTTATAAATTATCTGAAAAAATCATTTATAAATTATGATTCCATTAATATTAACTAAAGTGTATGTATTTAAGCACATAAATTACTAGAAATTAAACTCCAAAATGTTAGCAGTGTTTATCTCTGGCTGGTAAGATTATGGATAATTTTTACTTTCTTCTTTATGTTTTTCTATATTTTTCATATTTCCTTAAATGAACATTTCATTATAAAATTGAAAAAGTGGTTTTTCAAATTACTCATTAATTCCAAGCACTGCTTCTTACTCAAAGGAAAAATAGAAACCAAAGTTCTAAGTCTCACTGCTGATTTTTTTGTAGTTAGGAAAGCTACCTCAAATTGAAGCTAGGAAGAATACAAAGTTTGATTATTAGTCCTATTTCCTTAAAATTATAATAGTCTAGGGCTGACTTCAAAAAGATTTAAATATTTTCCCAGTACTTTCATTCTGTACAACACTTAAGGTAGACACTATCAATCAGATTATTTC